CAGCGCCTGTGTACACCACAGTGCATGCGTACAGCACAGCGCCGGTGTACATGTGTACACCGCAGCAACCATGTGCAACAGAGCGTCTGCGTACACCAAAGTGCTTGCGTGCACCGCAGCGCCTGTGCACGCCACAGCGCCTGTCTACACCGCAGCATCCGCGTGCAACGCAGCGCGACTGTACACCAGTGCCTGCGTGCAGGACACGGCTGATAACCGAATGCGACGGTATTCATGGGGGCGGTAGCGGGGGCCATGACGCCCGTCATGCCCCGAGCAATAAAGAAATGGTCTCCCCCCCTGTACCTGCTCCTCCTCCGACATGCAGGCCAGAGGAGAGGCTCCCAGGGGGTCGCGGCGCGAGCGAAAAGCGCAGGCTCCGCTCGCCGACGCGCGGCGCCCGCCTCGGGTCGCCAGAGTGGACGCCGGCGAGGAGTAGGAGGAGCAGGACGAGGAGCAGCAGGGACATAGACACCCTCTCCCAGAAGAGGAGGAGGAGCAGGAGGAGGTGGAGGAGGAGGATTTGTTCACTGCGTGCATCATCAAGCCGAACCCTGCCAGCAGGTAAAAGCTGAACGATGAAATACAATAGAGCTCCGCGGCGCAAGCTGCGCCCCAACAGAAGGCAGTTTGCTGAGGTGGCTTACCCTTCACTACTCGCTGGAGCGCCTGGAACTGCTTCGGGGAGACCTTGTGTGGGCCCTATAGGACCACAAGACAACCAATCAGGAGGTTGACTGGTCGCTTAGTAGCCCAGGACCCGCACCGACAACAAAAAACAAAGCGCCCCTTGAATCAGAGCTCGTGACTTGAATTCAATTGCCTGCCCGCTACAAGGGCAGGGTGGGCAAGTCTCTGGGACGGTTCCTACAAGCCCAAACGACGCCAAAAACACTCATCCACGGGGGCCTCGGGCTCCAGGGGCGGGACAACCCTGGGGAGCGGGACGGGAGGCCTGGGAGCCAGAGCGAGGCAAGCCGACAAAACAGAACCCCAAAAACCTCTCGATCTCTCACGGGCATGGAGGCCGCACCCAGCGCACCTCCAAGAGGTGTCAGCATCTTTAAAAATTGGCGCGACGAGGCTCGGATGAATTCAAGCCTGCGTTGCTTAGGGTTCTCTTTACGGTCCACAGGGCTCTTAGCGACAGACGCGCGAGCGATCCTTTGGACGAAAAGCTACAGCAACAGTGAGGGAGGCCGTGCGCAGCAGGATAGACTTCGCCCTCTCCTCACAAGCTAGCACCTCTCGGCAGATATGTGACTGGATCTGAGCAGACCCGGCGCGCTGGTCAGCAAGAAAGTCCGCAGCACGAGTGACATAAACACGCTCAGCGACTGGCGTGCGCCAAAACTTGCGAGTCGTGTCATCATTATCAAGGCGGGAGGGGCACTCCACAAGATGAGGTTCAGCATTGCGCAGAGAATCAAGGTGCCAGAGTTCCCAGCACGCATCTGCATTGGCAAGGTGATACGTACGGTGCCTTCCTTTATGGTAGGCATACACATGGCTCACATGACGATATACAAGAGTCAGGTATTCATTCTTGGCAACATCGCGAACGGCCTCAATCAGGCTTGCAAGCTCAGCCCTCGGGACCATATGCCTTTTGCCGTCGACCAGATTCGTGACCCCGTGGCTTCAGAAAAATTCATCCCCAGTGCCGTCCAGCCTGGCAAAGACAAACGCCACTCGGCGCAGCACGGGGTGCTTAGACCAAGCACCCCCTGCACCGTCGACCCCGTGAATGCCTCCAGGCAAGGGTTCCGAGGGCTCACACTCGCGATATTCGAGGAGACGCTGCTCAGGCGGAGGAGGGAGGGATAATCAATCAAGAGGTATGAACCCCCGTCCGCAGAAGATCGCGCAGGCGTCAAATTCGGCGACAGCTTCATGCCTCAAATGTTCACTGGCCTGTACCTTGACAGGCTCAGGCTCACCATTGCCATTGCAGGAACAAGCCAAAGTCTGTGCTTGGGCGTTTCGACATCTCACAGGCAGCTCTGGCACTGGGGGTCAGGAACGAGAGCGCACTCACGCTTCTCATCTTCCCGCCAAATACCGCCACAAGCCACAACTCTCACCATGGCGGCCAGGTCAGCCCCACCTTCTTTGACTAAGTGCCTAGAGAGCGCACCTACATGCTGCCAGGAGACCCCTCGCTCAGCGCCTTTCCCAAGATAGAACTTCGGGGCCTCTACCCACTGACCGGACTCGATGGTGTCGTCTAGATCCTGCATCAGCTGTGTGGCAGGACTGTCACCACCATTCACTAAAGCGCACTCCTCTCCGAAGGGTTGATAAAGTTACGAGGGCTGGGCACCTGCCATCCAAGATGGATTTAAGTGGCCTGCAGTGCGCTGAGGGGCCCCCGCACCCAAGCCCGGCCCTTCTTGACACGATCTACAGAGCGGTCCCACACAGACTCAACGCGCTCCAAAAGCCCAGGACGCTTCCAGAGCCGGCCCAGTCAGATGGCGACGAGGCGACGGACGTGAATGTTCACTGGATCGCGCCCGGCCCCCAAAGTCAGGCGGATTGCTGTGGTGCAGCACCTGCCTCTGCCACTGACCGAGCTGCTAGCATGAGCACTGCTGCGGAGACGCTTCAGGGACGCAGGGCAAACACTGTGGACCTCTGCAGCCCACATGGACATTGGACACGAGTTCGCATTCGTAAAAAAAAAGCTTGGGAATTCGCCGATACATTTTCGTGTAGCGCTTGATCTTCCCAGCTACCTTACAACCACGGCCAAACCTGGCCGTGCGCACATTGACGGAGCGCCTGCTGCCGAATGTGGTGCCGTGGCCAGCCTCCAGCGGCAGCAACGGGCACGAGCCCGACGCAAGCTTGGACAGGAGTTCCCATAGCTGGGGATGAGAGGCCACGAAAGCGCACTTCGGTGCGAACCAGCCTCCCGCTTCCCCCGCCCGGGCCCCGGCGCGGCGCAGCGGCGGTGGGCGGGGCGCGGGCGGAGGGGAAGAGGAAGGGGGGGGGAGGGAGGGCGGGAGGGAGGGAGGGAAGGGGGGAGGAGGAGGAGGAGGAGGAGGAGGAGGAGGAGGAGGAGGAGGAGGAGGAGGAGGAGGAGGAGGAGGAGGAGGAGGAGGAGCCTAACCAGGGTGCGAACCAGACGAGACGAGCCGAGCCGGGCCGAGCCGAGACGAGACGAGACGTTCCCCGATCCCCTCCGACGAGGAGCAGCAGGGACACAGACACCCTTCCCCAGGGAAAAAGGAGGAGGAGACAAGACGAGACGAGACGAGAGGAGACGAGGCGTTTCCCGCCCCCCCCCCCGACGATGAGGATGAGCAGCAGGGACACAGCCACCCTCCTCCAGGGAAACATGGAAGACGAGGAGGAGGAGGAGGAGACGAGACGAGACGAGAGGAGGAGACGAGATGTTCCCCGACATCCCCCCCGGCCATCTTCGGCGGTGGGCGGAGGCGCGCCTCCCATGGCCTCCTCTGGCCTCCGATGGCTCTGCCCCTGATGGGCCCTACGGTTTCGCGCGGGCCTTTCCTATGCCCGATGCTGATGTTGATGATGGTGATGATGGTGGTGGTGGTGATGGTGATGGTGATGGCGATGGCGATGGTGATCATGATGATGATGATGAGAATGATGATGATGATGATGATGATGATGATGATGATGATGATGATGATGATGATGATGATGATGATGATGATGATGATGGTGGTGGTGGTGATGATGATGATGATGGTGGTGGTGGTGGTGATGATGATGGTGGTGGTGATGAGGATGATGGTGATGATGATGATGCTGATGGTGGTGATGATGATGATGATGGTGATGATGATGGTGGTGGTGGCGATGATGATGATGATGATGATGATGCTGATGAAAATGATGATGATGATGATGATGATGATGATGATGATGATGATGATGATGATCGTCATGATGACGAGGAAAGGGGACAGTGTGTAAAAAAACAATTTGTTGGGCGGGCCCCAGTACAATCGCTTTATTGCAGCAGGAGAAAGAAGGAGTGAATAACGGAGCGCCCCCTGTTACAGACAGTTTCCCCTCAGTTTCTTGCAGTCTGCGTTTACACAATTGGGGAAGTGAGTATAGCCAAAGACAAGCTGAATGTAACTGAGAGAACCTGTGTGTAACTAAATGAAGCTGAGCGCAATTGAAGGAAAGTGGGTGTCACCGCGGGAAACTGAATGTAAAGGAAAGCTGAGCAGAACTGAGGGAAACTGAATGTAAAGGAAAGACTGGGTGTGACTGGGGGAAACTGCATGTAAAGGAAAAACTGAATGCAACTGAAGGAAACTGTGAGGAACTGGAAAAACTGAGTGCAACTGAGGGGAGCTAAATGTAACGGCAGGAACGAATGCAACCGCGGGGAACTGAGGGCAAGTGAGTGTTGAGAACTGCGACCGCGCGACGCCCCGCGCGGCCACAATGAAAACGCGACGCGCACGTCCGAGCGACGCCAGGCCCCCCCATCCAGCGCCGCCCGGCGCCTGTGGAGAGGGAGGCCCGGCACCCCCCGAGGAGGTCCACGCAGAGAGGAGCAAAGATCGACACCTTCCCGCGGCAGCCCGCCGCGGTATTCTCTCGCCCACCCTCGCCATCGCTCGGACGTCCCTTTCCCGTGCATTTGTCGGCTTCGTGCGTTGATAGTTTGTACGATGATCCTGGATCTGAGCATTTTCTTGGGGTGGAGGGCTGAGGGTGAAATCCATATATATATATATATATATATGTGTGCGTGTGTATGGGCTTTTGCGCCTCGAAAACCAATCCGTCTTGTGATTCACCTTCTACAGATTCAAACCTCGAACATCCATCGAGACGGCATTTCAGATGTCACCCTTTCCCCTCCACCCAAAGAAAATGCTCGGTAGATGCTCCTCCATGGTCCTCGTCGAAAAAGATGCACACGCCCGAGCCGTGCGCAGAAGAGGAGCATAGACAGATATCTTCCCGCGGTGGCACGCCGTAGTGTTCTCTCCCTCCCTTGCTGCCTGCATCTGCGGGTCGATCATGAGCGGCCACCGTCGGGAGTTGTCGAGGATGATGGCGTTGTCGATGCTGAGCTGGTCGTTCGGCAACGCATCGATCACCCACTGGCGGATCTTCACCTGGTCGCCGATGCAGTTCGAGAGGGTGAACCTGGCTGGCGCCCCTCACGATCAGACTCGGAAGGTGGTCCAAACTGGACCTGTAGCTGGCCCATCTGTCAGCTCCACGACTCCCAAAATCGCGTCCGACCGAGATCGAGATCACTACCAGCAGGTCGGGCGTGTCCCCCTACAGGCGGATTTTGGACGGAAAATAAAAAAGATTCTAACAAACTCCCAACAAAGATGCTTGACTATTCCTCCAGCAGAGGGACAGGCCCGACTTGACACTACCAGCGGAGAGCGGCTGATCCGAGATCAGACCCGGGTCCGAGCGGGGCAGACCGAGGGCCGAGACTCTTTGCTCGCGGGGATCTGCAGCCCCTGCAGCTTCGAGATCCAGCGGTCCATGGCCTCCCTGCGGTACAGGGAGGTGAAGATGCCCAGGTAGGCCTCGGATGCCGAACGCAAGGAGCGCCCTGGCAGCCAACTGGCAGCAAGCCGGACCCAGCTCACGAGAAACCGCACAAGACTGGCCGCCAACAAGGTCACTGGGACGCGGAGGGCAACACAGCAGGACAACCAATGGCACGATGCTGATGGTACATGTGCGAAACGCACGAAGACTCACGGTGAACTGCGCTCGAATGTCGCAGGCAATGGAGATCGGGGTGCAAAAAAAAACCTGCAGGGCCACCATTCATGGGAGTTCGTGCTCCGTGCCCGTGTCGTACGCGACACGTCGTGACTAAGAACCCCGTGTGTGACCCTCTCGGGTCGTCTGGGGCAGTTATTGGAGCCATCTTGGGCAATTGCAGAGCCCTATGAAGCCCTCTTCAAGCAGTGGTGAGCGAGCAAGCCAGAGGTGGCCCCCCGTTTCCCCGCGTCCCCTCCCCCCCCCGAGGAAAAAAAAATGCAGGCTGCTTAACCATGCTGACTGACCAGGGGGGGGCATCTCTTGGAACGTCTTGGAGCCACTCCTGGAGCCTCTTACGGGCCTCCCCGAGCTATCTCCCCCCTTCAAGCACCACTCTGAAGGGGGGGAGCGCTGGGGGACCCAAAACAGTCCTCGGCGGCGAGGAAGAAGGGGAAGTGAGAAAGGGCGGGCCTTCTCAAAAGGCTCGGAAGTCCCAGGGCCTTCTGATAAGTGTTCTGGTTTTCCCCGAAGACACAGACAACTTCTCGGAAGGCGCCAGGGCTTCTGAGAAGTCCCGCCGCCTTCTGAGAAGGCCGTCTCACTCTCACTTCCTGAGCGCGTGAAAACCGACCCCCGCCCCCCACGTGATGATATTTTGACCAACTAGACCGCGCGAGCGCGGGAACCCCCCCTGCGGCAGCTGGCAATGGCCTCCCTTACAAGGCACCTACACCTACGCACATTCGTCATACTTGTAAAACGTTGGCATCTAAAATCCAATTTGGGGGCTGGGGTCGGTTTCCCACTGTTCACTTCCCCCCCTCGATCGCCGCCGAAATCTGGTGGTCGGCGAAGTTCTTTCCAAGATCAGGCCCTTCGTCTCTGGGAAACGCCCGACGACGGCCCAAAAGGATGCCGCGAGGGCCCCAGGAGTGCCCGAGCGGGCCCTGGGAGAGCCCAGGAAGCCCCAGCTACATTTAGGTCGGGCATGTCCTCCTACAGGCGGATGTTGGGCGATTTGTTATTTATATCTTAAATAAAATTCAAAAAAAAAAAAAAAGAAAAAAACAAAAACAAACGAAACAAAAAAACAAAAAACAAAAAAACTTGAAAAATCATCCCCTTACGATTTTTGATTGTTTTGAATACTTCTCCTGTGGGCAGACTTACTATTCCCGGAAAGGGCTCGAGCCCAGGGTTCTCTTTTAGATGGTTTACCCCTCGGTTTCGACGGCTGTAGGGCCGGCGAAATTATTCTGCGATAAATTACGTGCGGGAGTAGGGCCGGCGAATTAAAATTTGAGGATGTCCCTAGCGAAACGCTTGTTTGTCAGAATTTGTTGAGGATGTCTCGAGCGAAACGCTTGTTTTGTGTTAAAGATTGTCATCTCCTGGGGGCCTGAATTCAAAGGATCTCTCAAGTGAAATGCTTGTTTTCGCGTGCCCAGGTCTTGAGGATGTCTCGAGCGAGACGCTTGGTTTCACGCCTCCAGGTTGCCCAGACAGATGTCTAGGATGAGGATTTGTTGAGGATTTCTCGAACCAGAGGCTTGTTTTCACGTGTCCAGGTCGCCCAGGCGGATGTCTAGCATGAGGATGTGTCGAGGAAGTCTCGATCGAGACGCTTGTTTGCACGTGTCCAGGTTGCCCAGGCGGATGTCTAGCGTGAGGATGTGCTGAGAACGCGTGTTTTCACGTGTCCAGGTCGCCCAGGCTCAGCACAGCCTTCGGCACGGTACATCAATATCGATACCTTGAGCATTGCAGCTTGGCATGGTGCCTGGCACGTTCTGCGGAGCGTCCCGTGGCGAGTCCCCCTGGCACGTCGCGCGGTGCACGTCCATTGGCACGTTCCGTAGCGCGTCCCCTTGGCACGTCCCGCGGTGCGTGCCCATGGCACGTCCCCTGGCACGTCGCCTGGCGCGTCCCTTGGGACGTTCCGCGGCGCGTCCTCCTGGCATGTCCCCCTGCCGATTAGTTCTGGGGCAGCTACCATCTGCTCAGGCAGCTCGAGCTTAAGATCCAGATCAGTTCGGTCAGGACTCGGATGCAAAGAGGACTCGATCCACAACGCTAGTTATATAATCGCGGCATGCCACATCGCAGTTCAGCACGGCCAGCATAGCGCAGCCGTCGGCACGGTACATCAAGATCGATACATTCAACATTACATCTTGGCACGTTCTTTGGCGCGTTCCTTGGCGAGTCCACCTGGCACGTCGCGCGGCGCGTCCCCTGGCACGTCCCGCGGCACGTCCATTGGCACGTTCCGTAGCGCGTCCCTTTGGCACGTCCCGCGGTGCGTTCACATGGCACGTCCCCTGGCACGCCGCCTGGCGCGTCCCTTGGGACGTTCCGCGGCGCGTCCTCCTGGCATGTCCCCCTGCCGATTAGTTCTGGGACAGCTATCATCTGCTCAGGCAGCTCGAGCTTAAGATCCAGATCAGTTCGGTCAGGACTCGGATGCCAGGGAGGACTCGATCCACAACGCTATATATATATATATAGAGCACAATCGCGGCATGGCACATCGCAGTTCAGCACGGCCAGCACAGCACAGCCCTCGGCACAGTACATCAAGATCTGTACATTGAGCACTGCATTTGCCCGTCGCCCAATCAAGTGTCTTTGAAACGTTGCCATGCCTTACATTTCTATATTCCTTTCCGGGTTCGTGGGTCGATCATGGTTTTGACTATTTTGAATACTTCTCCTGTAGGCGGACATGCCCGACTTAAAGCTAGATCCTAAGAACCCTGCAACCCTCCGGGAAATCAAACTAGCGTTTTCTCCTGCCACGTGGCGACGTCTCCAGAACCCCAATGCCAGCGTTCGCGTCGCAACTGGCGACTTATATCTATATATATACGGCCCCCTCCCGGAGCGCAAGGCTGCGAAGGGGTGTGCGGTCTGCTGTCATGTGTTATGTGTTGTTTGCTTGGCCTTATGTCTCTCCAGTCCTGTTTCCTGCCTCCTGTTTACTCTCTGCTAGGGGGGCCCGCCGCGCCACCACACAGCCACTGGGGGGGGGAGAACATCAAATCCTGGCTGCTCCAGGATTCTCATGGTGACGCCACCGCGCGACCAGAACGGCCCGAGAGGCCTCCAATATTGCCCGAAGAGGCTCCCTTGAGAGCCTCAGGAGCCCAAGACGGCCCAAGATGTCCCCAAGATGTCCCACGATGGCCCCAAGACGGCCCAAGACGGCCCAAGATGATGCCAAGACGACCCAAGAGGCCTCCAAGAGGCCTCCCAAGAGGGCCCCACCAAGCGATTTTCCTTACGCTTTTGAAGGTTCTTGGCCTTCTCGCCTTTTCGGCTTTCCGACGCTCCGAGACGGACCAAGAGGTTCCCAAGATCGCCCCACGACGGCCCTAGAAGCTCCCATGACGGCCCAAGGGGCCCCCAAGACGGCCCCAAGACGGCCGAAGAGGGTCCTAAGACAGAGGGCCCTAAGACGGTCCCAAGAGAGGCCCGAGAGGGAGTCCACGAACCGAAAACTCGACCTTTCCGCCCTGAGAGGGCCACAGGAGGCCCCAAGAAGGTCCCAAGAGGCCCCAAGAAGCCCTCAGGAGGCCCCCAAGAGGCCCCAAGGAGACCCCCAAGAGACCCAAAACATGCCCCAAGAAGCTCCACAACGGCTTCCAAGAAGCTCCAACAATGACCCGCAGACGCTGCCGAGAAGCCTGCCACGAGAAGCACCCACGGCGCTATCCACGCAGCCGCACGCACTAGTAGCAGGGGGAGCCGGCGGCAGATAGCGAAGCCATTAAGCGATATCTATATATATATATATATATATATATGTATATATGTATACATATATATATGTATAGACATACATCGATATATGTATATATATATATCCAACTAACCATCTATCCATCAATCAATACATACATCCATACATCCATTACATACATACGAATATACATGTTTACATACATACATACATACATACATACACACAACTATACACGCAATCATACATCCACCTAAAACATAAACATAAACCTATATACACACATATAGATGTATATATATATATGATATACGCGAATGCGTCCGTGACTATACCTACACATGCACACGTACATATACGTATACATACATACACACCTATCTATATATATATATACACATACAGACAGACATACATACACATCATACATACATAGATTTGCAGATACAAATACCTATACATATAACTATGTGCATAATCATGTACACAAGCATATACGTATACATGTACGTATTCGTTTGCGTATACACATACACGTACACATACATATACATATACAACTACATATACACGTACATATACATACGTATGCAAATACATGTACACATACATCTACATATACATTTGTATGTATGCTTACACATACATACACAAAAAACATCTACCTATACATATAAAAAGAGGGATAGATTTCTTCGGACAACGGGGGCCGCGGTGCACGCGTCGCCGAAAATTGAAAGCGAGGGGGGGCGAAGGGGGTTGGAAACAACTTGCAACTTGCGCTTGATTTCGAGAGTCAGTCTGTCAAAACAGCATGTTGAGCAACAAACGAGGCGCCCGCAAACATACCAATAAACGTGGAAGCGGCAGTTACATAGCGAAAGAGGAAAGGCAAGGGCATACGGATTAGAAGAGAGCCGCTTCGGGACCTGAGAAAGCTGCGGCACCATGAGTTCAGGCGAGTCGTTTCGAGAGAGGTCTGCAGGAGGCCCGTAAAGGGCTCCACGTGCGACTCCCCGCCCTTCTCTCTCTTTCTCTGCGTCGTGCAGGGGGTACGGGGAGGGGGGAAGGCTTCTTGGCACCCCCTCCTAGGGGCAGGGAGAGGGACGCGCAGCGGGGAGGCAAGGCCAAAAGCAAGATGAGGACAGCTCCGAATAAGGATGAGTCGGAAATCACTGAGACCAGCGGCTCTTGGCGGCGCGCACATGGGGGTAGGGGTAGGGGTAGGGGGAGAAGGCTTCTTGGAAGCACACATGCTTCTTAGAAGGCGCCAGCCCTACATCTACACACGAGGCCCGCGCCTTCTAAGAAGCACCCTCCTTCTGAGAAGCCTTCCCCCCCTAACTACACCTACCCCCCTCTGCGCGTGGCTGACTCTCGCTCCGGTCCTAAACGTAGATTGCGTCGTGCCTCCCGTCGGACAGCCAAACGTCGAAGGCGAAGGACGAGGAGGAGGAGGAGGAGGAGGAGGAGTCGGGGGGGGGACGAGGCAGCGTCATTGGCGAGATACACGCCCATCAGCATAGGGAAGGAGTTGATAACTCAGCGAGTTGGCAGAAGTGGTTGAACGTCACGAGAAAGTCACCCACCGCGGGGGGGTCCTTGGTTGACCCAGGCCGGTTGGAAACTGCGTGCGCCCATGTTTGTGTATGGGGGACACAAGGCCCCCATGATTCTTCGTCCGCCAAACTGCGGACAGTGCCTGTTAGCACACCTGATATGCGGACGGTATCCATCGGAATACTGCCCGGCAGCAAAATCTGCCCGCGATGGACGCTGCACAGGCAACGTTCGCCTCCGAACGGGGTGCAGCGAATCCCGCCCAGAATGAAGGGGGCTACTGTCAGTCATTCCATGTTCGTTTACTCTCCAAGTCGATCCTCTCGAGCCAAGCTGGGAGGCGGGCGATGATACCAGACGCGACCAGGATGTCTCCGGTGAGGTTCGTGTAGTCCTTGCCGAGCCTGTTGCTCTTCGTGGTCCAGGACGCCTGCTCGCCGCCCAGGCCTCTGGCGGGAGCTGTCGAACAACGTCCAATCATCCTGCCTCCACTTCCTTATCCACTTCCCTCATCCCTCACCTCCACCCCTTCGTCTTCCTCGTCCCTCCTCCTCCTCCTCCTCCTCCTCCTCCTCCTCCTCTTCCTCCTCCTCCTCCTCCTCCTCCTCCTTCTCCCCCTCCGCCTCCTGCTCCTCCTCCTCCTTTCCTCCTCCTCCTCCTCCTCCTCCTCCTCCTCCTCCTCCTCCCCTCCTCCTCCTCCTCCTCTCCTCCTCCTCCTCCTCCTCCTACACCTCCTCCCCCTCCTCCTCCTCCTCCTCCGACAACTCCTCCTCCTCCACCACCTCCTCCTCCTCCTCCACCCCCTCCTCCTCCTCCGCCTCCTCCTCCTCATCATCATCATCAGCAGCAGCAGCTTCATCATCATCATCATCATCATCATCATCATCATCATCATCATCATCATCATCATCATCATCATCATCATCATCATCATCATCATCATCATCATCGTCTCATCATCGTCATCATCATCATCATCATCATCAGAATCGTCATCATCATCATCATCATCATCATCATCATCAGAATTACTGATTATCACCATCACCATCACCATCACATTCACCATCACTATCACCATCACCATCACCATCACCCCTTGCGCCTGCCTGGCACATACACCTTCCCGCCTCACCCTCCTCGTCGTCCTCCTCATCCTCCAACTCCTCCTCCTCCTCCTCCTCCTCCTCCTGCTTCTCCTCCTCCTCAAACTCCTCCTCATCCTCTTCCTCCTCCTCCACCTCCACCTCTTCTTCCTCCTCCTGCTCCTCCTCCTCCTCCTCCCCCTCCTCCTCCTCCTCCCCCTCATCAGCATCATCATCATCATCATCATCATCATCATCAGCAGCAGCATCATCAGCATCATCAACATCATCAGCAGCAGCATCATCAACATCATCATCATATTCATCTTTTTCACCATCATCATCATCATCATCATCATCATCATCATCAGCATCATCATCATCAGCATCAGCATCAGCATCAGCAGCATCATCATCATCATCATCATCATCATCATCATCATCATCAACAGCATCATCATCATCAGCATCATCATCACCAACACCACCACCATTATCATCATCATCAGTAGCATCAGCATCATCGTCATCATCAGCACCAGCATCATCATCATCAGCATCATCATCAGCAGCAGCACCACAATCACCACCACCGTCATCAATGGTCATGGCGTATCGCCGAAGTCTTGTAACAGCATCATCATCAGCATTATCATTGTCATCCACATCATCATCATCATCATCATCATCATCACCACCTCCAGCATCATCATTATCAGCATCATCATCAGCATCACCATTAGCATCATCATCATAATCGGCATCATCATCATCATCAGCAGCATCATCATCACCACCACCACCGTCGTCATCATCATCAGCAGCAGCATCATCATCATCATCATATGAATCATCGCCATCAGCATCAGCATCAGCATCATCATCATCATCGTCATCATCAGCATTATCATCATGATCACCACCACCATCACCACCATCATCATCAGCAGCAGCATCATCAGCATCATAAACACCATCATCGTCATCGTCATCATCAGTATAGTCATAATCAGCATCAGCATCATCATCACCACCATCATCATAAACATGCCAGTCATCATTATCACCGCCACAACCACCACCACTTCCACCTAATCATCATCATCGCCATCGTCATGTTCACCATCATTGTCATCAAAATGATTATCACCATCATCATCAGCAGCAGCAGCAGCATCATCAGTATCATCATCAAACTCGTCATCACTATCATCCTCCTCGTCATCAGCAACATCATCATTACTAGGATCATCGTTAACAAAATCAGAATAGTCATCCTCCCGCTCATCATCATCATAATCATAGTCATAATCAGCATCATCATCAGCATTATCATCATCATCAGCATCATCACATTCATCATCATGGGACTGCTCGAGGTGTGCGCCAAGCTCCTGCTCATCACTACTCGCGAGGTGGCCGATCTCGGCGCGGCGGTCGTCTGCAGGTGGATAATCTTCCGCACAGCAGCTTGCGCACAGGCCACGACGCGCGCGGGCAAGGTGCACGACGAAACCAGCGCCAAAAGCTGCGCAGCAGCGCGCAGAACGGAAAGACCGTCAAGTACAGGGAGCACGGCGCTCCGCACATGCATGTCCACATGGCCATGAGGATCTACTGCGCGGCACTCACGGGCGAACACGTGATAGGGGTTCAGGCAACAGTTGGCGTAACTCGTGGATCGTCTCAGCAAGCACGTGTCGAAACTGCCGCTGCAGCGCGTGGGCCAATACGTGAAGATGTGCCGCATGAAGCATCAGAGAAAATAGAAGGACGGCGAGGCGGCGAAAAGCACCCTCTACCTCAGTACGGAGAGGCACGAACTGGAGGGCAACCGCATGCTCGAGACCATTTCGACCAGCATCGAAAGCGAGGGCGGCGAGATAACGGCGGCGCCAGCGCCCCGCGGCCCGCTGGAGCGGAAAGTCTCTCGCGTGCCGTGCGAAGCGCAAGCGAGGATGACACCAGCCAGCCCGTGCGCCCGAGGCCGAGCAACGCCAGTGTGGCCAGCCAGCGAGCCAGTTTTACACGTGCGCCTTCAGCTTCCGCCCAGAGCGAGAGGCTCGCCTCACTTCTCGAGGAGGGGGTCCCTCTCGCGAGGAAGTGCTGCGCGTGCCCGGCCGGGCGCAGCGCGCCAAGCCCAAGGGTAGGGGTCTCAAGGCATGCCCGACACGCCGGCCTTTTTTGCTGCTCGCGCTCGGCAGAGCCGTGGGAGTGGGTCGGGTCGTGGAAGGGAGGGTGAGTCTGGTGCCTGAGAGCTGTGAGCCCCTCTGTGGGCCTGCACGCCCCTGGGGGGGCCCCAGCCAGCGCCAATGCTGCCTGGTGCAGACAAGAAAGCAGCCGGTCTCATGATAGAAGTCATTTGCGCAGGCGGCTGCGTAATGGCCAACAGCCTTCCCAAAGTTCTACGGGGTTCAAGCTTCATTCACAACGATCCCCCAAGGACCCCATGGGCTCTGATCTGCTTTGATCATCGTCACCATCATCGTCATCGTCATCATCCTCATCATCATCATCCTCCTCATCATCATCAGCAGCATCACCATCAGCATAATCAATATCACCATTATTATCATCCTCATCATCATCATCATCATCATCATCATCATCATCATCATCATCATCATCATCATCATCACCATTAGCATCATCATCATCGTCATCATCAGCATCATCATGATAATCGTCTTCATCATTATCAAAATCAGCATCAGCAGCATCATCATCAGCAGCAGCATCGTCATCATCGGCATCATCAACATCACCACCGTCATCATCATCGTCATCATCATCACCGTCATTGTCACCATCACCATCATCATCGTCATCATCAGAACATCACCATCATGTTCAGCATCACCACATCACCATCATCATCATCATCATCATCAGCAGCAGCATCAGCAGAATCCCCTCAGCGTCATAAGCATCACCACCACCACCATCAAATTCAGCATCACCGCCATCGGCATCATCATCATCATCATCATCATCATCATCAGCAGCATCATCAGCATCGTCGTGGTCCCCTTCGAAACCCGGACCTTCGGACCGGTCTGTACAGGCACAACCCCCTCCTCGACCTCCTCCCCCATCCCCCGCTCCACGGGCCGTCGATCAGCTTCTCCGCGCGCGCCAGCTTCGCGGCGCAATCCTGCAGGGGGTCGGCGCGAGCGCCGCAGTCCCAGCGGCAGCACTGCTGCTAGATTTAAGTCGGGCGTGTCCCCCTACAGGGGATTTTCGACGAAAAACAAAAAATACAACAAAAAAAACAAAAAAAATGCTCCAAAATGGTCAAAAATACTCCAAAAAAATGTTGGGAGATTCCCCCTGTAGGGACAGGCCCGACTTAATGCTAGATGCCACGGGGGGGGGGGGGGGAAACTTCGTACAGCTGCTGCCGCAGACCCGAGAACGCGCGGGCCGATCGAGCTGCCCAGGGGCACTGGACAGCGGATCGCGCACTGCAAGGGGCAGAAGACGAAGAGGCAGGGCGGAGGACAGATATTACAGGCAAGAACAGACATGTGCTGATGATGACGTGACCAGGATGCTCAGCAGCCCAACGACGCACCCAACCAATCTGCAACAAATGGCACAGCCCACGGACCCATCCAAACGGACATAAAATGCTCGACCACGCACGCAACCACGAGCCAATGATACACGGGGAATGGACACCGAAGGGAAGGAGCCAATATGAAGAAAGACGATGTCGAAGAGGGTGAAAAAGGAATGGGATGAACAGAAAAGACAAAAACTCAAACTGGCAAAGACGAGGACCAGCATGATGCGGAGTCGCAAGATGGAACGGAGGGGCGAAGAGGAAGAACATGCGCGACCGAACTCCCTCAAGCACGAACATTACGAGGTTGAACATGTTACCTACATCCTTGGCCTTTGCTTTGCACCGCTCAATGCGGGCATTGAAAGTTCGCAAACGCACCGTCAAGTCTGCTGACAGCTCTCAGGAGAGAAAGTCCGCGCCTGGGTCGCTACTTGCAAGCAGGTTCCACCAGGCCATAGCCATGGACACTGTGACGTACAAACGCAGCCAGAAGCGCCAGCTTCACGAAATTCCGCAACTTGCAGCCCCCAATGAGACAGAACTCCCGTTCGGATCTGGGTAAGATCGCACTCGGCCAGACCCCCCAGAAGCCCACGAAAGTGGCGACACCTGGCAGCCCCCCAGCGAGGGCGAGCTACCGTCTGGCTCTGGGCGCGACCGCACTCGGCTAGAGCCCCAAAATAGCCTGAAAATGGCGACAAATTCGCGCGGCTGGTTGTCCCCAGCGACGGGCGAACTACCGTTTGTTTACGGCCGGCACTCCAATGGACCTCCCAGAAGCTCACGAAAGCGGCGACCCAGCGAAGGCCAGCTACCCTTGGAATCTGGGTGAGAGCGCGCCCCGCTGAGCTGCAAAAACTCCTGGAAATGGCCATAGATCCACGCGGCCGTCAGACCCCGCGAAGGGCAAGCCACAGTTTGAATATGGGCAGCACTCCGCTGACCTCCAAGAAGCTACCGACAGCGGCGACTCAACCAGGGCGAGCTACCATTTGGATCTGGGTAAGACCGCCCTCTTCTGGACCCCCCCACGTCACGCTGCGCTACGCCATACACCGAAGAGCGTGGACGAAAACGACAAGAATAAGACGCCAAGGCACCGGGCATCGCATGCAACGTAGGTATATAATGCTACGAAATGCGATTAGCAATCACGTTCAACATCGTGGTTTGCAATTCGTTCATCCATACTTATCCTCTCGATGGGATCTTGCAGGCGCTGCACCAAGTATGCTCTGGGCCAAGATGAGGAACCGAAGCATTTGTGTAGACATTTCGCCCATTCGCGTTTGGGCATTGCCTCCTTTGATGCGCATCCACGACTGAACACATGGTTCAGGGCTACATAGTGCGCCGTCGAAGAAAATACTGGCATGTACTGCTGAAGCAGTTGCGCCCCGTACTTCGCGTGCCCAGTTTCTCCCCGAACCTTGCCAGCAGGCACTCGCGTTTGAAAGGCGGGAGGTAGATGTGGCATTAGTCTGAGGTCGGGCATGTCCCCCTACAGGCGGATTTTGGGCGAAAAATGAAAAACCCCCAAAAATGCCCTCCAAATAGGCAAAAATAGTCAAAAAAAATCGTCCCCTGACAATTATGACTATTTTTACCTAACAGCGAAGACTGATAGGTTTCTACTAGTGGGGTCAAAAGAGAGCATCTTGACGCCCCAGGGGGGTCCGGGCAGGATCCGGGGAGAACCCGCGGAAGTCGTTCTAAGCAAACAGTTACACACTTCGTGGTCTTCGAGGTCCCAGAACTCCATTCCTGGGCATGATTTTGAATGCCCGGAGCCAACTGTAGGCCACTTCGTGGTCTTCGAATTCCCAGAACTCCATTCCCGGGCCACATTTTGAATGCCCCGAGCCAATTGTAGGCCACTTCGTGCTCTTCGAGTTCCCACAACTCCATTCCCGGGCCACATTTTGAATGCCCGGAGCCAATTGTATGCCACTTCGTGCTCTTCGAGTTCCCAGAACTCCATTCCCGGGCCACATTTTGAATGCCCGGAGCCAACTGTAGGCCACTTCGTGGTCTTCGAGTTCCCAGAACTCGATTCCTGGGCATGATTTTGAATGCCCGGAGCCAACTGTAGGCCACTTCGTGTTCTTCGAGTTCCCAGAACTCCAGGCCGAGGCTGAAGGCAGCTGAGGCTGAGGCTCTGAGGCTGAGGCTGAGGCAGGCTGAGGCTGAGGCTGCAGGCTGATGCTGAGGCAGGCTGAGGCTGAGGCTGAGGCTGATGCAGGCTGAGGCTGAGGAGGCTGAGGCTGAAGGCAGCTGAGGCTGAGGCTGAAGGCAGGCTGAGGCTGAGGCTGAGGCAGGCTGAGGCTGAGGCTGAGGCTGAGGCTGAGGCAGGCTGAGGCTGAGGCCGAGGCTGAAGGCAGACTGAGGCTGAGGCAGCAGGCTGAGGCTGAGGCTGAGGCAGGCTGAGGCTGAGGCAGGCTGATGCTGAGGCAGGCTGAGGCTGAGGCTGAGGCTGATGCAGGCTGAGGCTGAGGCAGGCTGAGGCTGAGGCTGAGGCTGAAGGCAGAGGCTGAGGCTGAGGCTGAAGCAGGCTGAGGCTGAGGCTGAGGCAGGGCTGAGGCTGAGGCTGAGGCAGGCTGATGCTGAGGCAGGCTGAGGCTGAGGCCGAGGCTGAAGGCAGACTGAGGCTGAGGCTGAAGCAGGCTGAGGCTGAGGCTGAGGCTGAGGCTGAGGCTGAGGCTGAGGCAGGCTGATGCTGAGGCAGGCTGAGGCTGAGGCTGATGCAGGCTGAGGCAGGCTGAGGCTGAGGCCGAGGCTGAAGGCAGACTGAGGCTGAGGCTGAAGCAGGCTGAGGCTGAGGCTGAGGCAGGCTGAGGCTGAGGCTGAGGCTGAGGCTGAGGCTGAGGCTGATGCAGGCTGAGGCTGAGGCAGGCTGAGGCTGAGGCCGAGGCTGAAGGCAGACTGAGGCTGAGGCTGAAGCAGGCTGAGGCTGAGGCTGAGGCAGGCTGAGGCTGAGGCTGAGGCAGGCTGATGCTGAGGCAGGCTGAGGCTGAGGCTGAGGCTGATGCAGGCTGAGGCTGAGGCAGGCTGAGGCTGAGGCCGAGGCTGAAGGCAGACTGAGGCTGAGGCTGAAGCAGGCTGAGGCTGAGGCTGAGGCAGGCTGAGGCTGAGGCTGAGGCAGGCTGAGGCTGAGGCAGGCTGAGGCTGAGGCTGAGGCTGATGCAGGCTGAGGCTGAGGCAGGCTGAGGCTGAGGCCGAGGCTGAAGGCAGACTGAGGCTGAGGCTGAAGCAGGCTGAGGCTGAGGCTGAGGCAGGCTGAGGCTGAGGCTGAGGCAGGCTGATGCTGAGGCAGGCTGAGGCTGAGGCTGAGGCTGATGCAGGCTGAGGCTGAGGCAGGCTGAGGCTGAGGCCGAGGCCGAAGGCAGACTGAGGCTGAGGCTGAAGCAGCTGAGGCTGAGGCTGAGGCAGGCTGAGGCTGAGGCAGGCAGGCTGAGGCTGAGGCAGGCTGATGCTGAGGCAGGCTGAGGCTGAGGCTGAGGCTGATGCAGGTGAGGCTGAGGCAGGCTGCGGCTGAGGCCGAGGCCGAAGGCAGACTGATGCTGAGGCTGAAGCAGGCTGAGGCTGAGGCTGAGGCAGGCTGAGGCTGAGGCAGGCTGAGGCTGAGGCAGGCTGAGGCTGAGGCTGTGACTGCGACTGCCGTTGCCACTGCGACTGTCATCGCGAATGCGACTACGACTGCGAGAACAGCAGAATTCTACGACTGGATTATCATCTGAATCTTAAGGGGAGTGCTTCCAAATATGCTCCTACACATCGCGATTAGGTTGCTTTGCCGGGATAATTGAATATTCCTCCTGTAGAGGGACGGGCCCGACTTAACATTAGTCGTAGGCATATCCTTTCAGCTTTGTTCAACCCAGCCGTGCGTACTGAATACAAGATACGGGATGTCGCCCGTGCTTGGACTTGGGCAATTCTCGCCGCTTGCTCAAAGCAGTGCGTTTCCGTGTTTTGTCACATTTGGAAAATTCGGCCCAAGCTTTCCTATGATTTTGTTTACCTCGGTACCAACCTGTCCACTGCTGCATGCGTAGTGATCATCATCATCATCATCATCATCATCATCATCATCATCATCATCATCATCATCATCATCATCATAATCATCATCATCAACATCGTGATCATCGTAATCATCGTAATCGTAATCATCATCATTATCATCATCATCATCATCATCATCATCATCATCATCATCATCATCATCATCGTCATCATCGTAACCCTCTCTCTTTCCTCTTTCCTGCCTACCGTTTCCCGCCTCCTCCTCCTCCTTCCTCCTCCTCCCTCTTCCTCCTCCACCTTGTCCTCCTCCTCGTCCGCGTCCCTCTTCTTGCCCACCCTTCCCCCCTCCCTTCCTCATCATTCTCCCTCATCATCCTCTGGCGAGCCGGCTCCTTCTGATTCCGTTGCAACTCCTTCGCCTTCTCGTTGGCCTCGTGCAGCTGCGACTCCAGATCGCGGACCATGGCTTCCACCTTCCCGGTGGCGGAGAGGACGGGGGTGGAGGAGCAAGGGGGGACGAGGGTGACGACGCGTGACGACGACACGGAGCGGGAGGAAAAATAGTAGGGGAACGACAACGAACACATCCAAGATGAGGAAGGGGAAGGAGGAGGGAAGGGAAGAAAAAAGGACAGGAGAGAAGGAGGAAGGAGGGGGAGGAGGGGTGGGAGAGGGAGGAAAGGATGATGAGGGTGGGACGGGAAGGGGACAGGGAGTGGGGAGGTGGAAGCGGGGGGGGGTAGGGCAGCTCCCCCGTCGCCGGGGCGCGTTCCACAACACAGCGGCTCCAGTCGGTGAAGGAAGGCGGGAAATGGCAGCCTCACGCGCAAGCCAGGCTGAGCGAACGGAGGTAGCAGAAGACCCAAGGAAACGGCGGCTGGAGCGGCAAGGCGCCAGCAGGGCCGGAGCAAACGCTAGCGGCGGCAACCGGAAGGGCGAACACGACACACACACAACCCAACAACAACAACAACAACAACAACAACAACAACCATTTTAAGGCTGTACGCTCTTACTTGCCCGCGAGTCATTCAACACGTATACCCTACACCCTCGATGCCCGCCCTCTTCGTCTTCGATCACACGCCTTTCGGGGGGATTATTTTTCTTTGCTGGGGCCGGCGGGCTTAGACGCACGGGCAAACCGGAACGGGCGGACAATCCTTCGGGGGCGTACATCTCTCTGCCCGCCATTGGAATTGGCGCGGGCCCTGCAAGAGGAGGAGGGGAAGAACGAGGGAGAGTGGGAGGAAGGGGAGGGGGAAGGACGAAGGAAGAGGGAAGATACCACGTTGTGAAGGCGTCCTTGGCGCGCGCGTGGTTCCTGAGCGCCGAAACGCAATTCCAGAATAATTTGTGAGGACGTCGCACGCGAGAGCGCAGTCCTGAGTACATTGTGAGGAAATCTCGGGCGGAAGCGGGGGCCCTGACTAAGTTGCGAGGAAGTCTCAAGCGGGAGCGCCGTTCCTGAGCAAATTGCACGGAAGTCTCAGGCGGGAGCGGGGGTCCTCACTAAATTGCGAGGAAGTCTCAGGCGGGAGCGCCGTTCCTGAGTCAATTGCGCGGAAATGTCACGCAGGAGCGGGGGTCCTGAGTAAAATTCGAAGAAGTCTCAGGCGGGAGCGCCGTTCCCACGTAAATTGCACGGAAGTCTCAGGCGGGACGGGGGTCTTGATTACATTGCGAGGAAGTCTCAGACGGGAGCGCCTTTCCTGGGTAAATTGCGCGGAAGTCTCAGGCGGGAGCGGGGGTCCTGAGTAAAAATCGAAGAAGTCTCGGGCGGGAGCCGTTGTTGTTGTAGCCCGGGGGGCAGGGGCACAGTTTGAGCAGGAAGACTTTCCTTGAGAAAAAACAAGGTGCGAGCCCCGGGGATGGCACTTCAATCGAAAAAAATCAATGTGCACCGGTGGGGGGGGATCAACAATAATTATTCTTCAAGAACGAGAGTTCAACAACAACAACAACAACAACAACAACAACAACAACAACAACAACAATAATAAGTTAAGACTGTTCGCCCTTATATGCTCGAGTGTCCAATAACGCGTATTTCCCAAACCCTCGATACCCGCCCTCTTCGTCTTCGATCGAACCCCTTTTGGGGGGTATACCTTTCTTCCCTGCAGGCCGGGCCCCGGCAAGCGGCGGGGCGGCCGCGGACCGTCGGCCTGGCCAGCGGCAGCGCTGATAGGCGGGGCGGCCGCGGACCGTCGACCCGACCCCAAGAGGGACGGACAGGGGACCGACACGACGACGACGACGACGACGACGACGACGACGACGACGACGACGACGACGTCGAAGACGACGGCGACGACGACTACGACGGCGATGACGAGCGAAAGTGAGAGCGAGAGAGAACGACAGCAGGGCCACAAAGGGCACGAAGTAGGCCACGAAGGGCGACAGCGGGGACACGAAGGGAATGGGGCCACGAAGAGCGCGAACGAGCGGGGGCCACGAAGGGCAGATAATGCGGGGCCACAGAAGGCAACTATGGGGCCACTGAGGGTAGCAACTGGGCCACGTAGGACAATAAAGGGGACACAAATGGCGACAGCGGGGCCACGAAGGGCACGCACATGGGGCCACAACGGGCGCGACTCCTGGGTGCCTGGGTGTCGGAAGCGCGGAGCTTGGGCAAATTGCAAGAAATTCCAACGCAAGGCCATTCTTCAGTAAGTTGCAAGCAAGTCTCCAGCGAGAGCGCGACTCCAGAGCGCCGGGAAAGCGATTCCTGAATAAATTGTAAGGAAGTCCCAAGCGAGAGCGCGATTCCTGAATAA